CAGGAAAACAACTTCTGTCCCTCAGCCACGCACCTTTGAGTGGATTTTGTTATCAGTAGGATTAAGAGGAGGCCTGTGTCATGGACCTGCACTGCTGCTGTTATCTGGAGGTTGGCAGCTCGAGCTGCTCTCTGTCAGCTTGCCCTTCCCTCCCACCAGCACACACTCTGGTGCTGCATTCTATTTCTAGAAATAAGTACTGAAGTTCATTTTCCATCTCCTCCCCCAGCCCTGACTTTATTTTATTATTTATTTATTTGCATTTTATTTTTGGCAGCGTTGCGTCTTCATCGCTGCACACAGGCTTTCTCTAGTTGCGGCGAGCGGGGGGGCTGCTCTTCGTTGCGGTGCGCAGGCTTCTCATCGCGGTGGCTTCTCTTGTTGCAGAGCACGGGGTCTAGGCACGCGGGCTTCAGTAGTTGTGGCACGCAGGCTCAGTAGTTGTGGCTCGCGGGCTCTAGAGCGCAGGCTCAGTAGTTGTGGCACATGGGCTTAGTTACTCTGCGGCATGTGGGATCTTCCTGGACCAGGGCTCGAACCCGTGTCCCTGCACTGGCAGGCAGATTCTTAACCACTCCGCCACCAGGGAAGTCCCCAGCCCTGACTTTATACCAGAGCATCCATAGGATTTCTTATATGTTTGAACTTAGAATATTTTGACCTTCATTTAAAAATGACATTTCTTGATTACTTTACTTCTCTGTTCCTGGTTTGTCATTCTGCTCATTCATCCCATATTCACTAGGTTGGTCGTTAGTGACTTGAGTTGATCAACTTTAGAATGTACATTTCAAAATTTTTATGTGAATTCCCGTCTCCCTTTCCACTGCAGGCAACCCCTCCCCCCCAGAAAAAGGGGGCAAGTTTCGCTAATTCTCTGCTCATTATTTTGGAACCAAATGAACCAAAGTTAGACTTTGATTTGCTGTATTCCAAGGTTTTGGCCAGTCCCTTTGAAGTATGTTAAGGTGACTGGCAGGTTTAGAGAGATCTCTGAGAGATTTTTGTTTTAATTTGCGGAGTCCCAGCATGCCCAGGGATACTCACCCAGTGGGTATGGACTCCAGGTCCCTTTAAAAATGAAGCCAAATTCTTTTGAGAAGGACCAGTCTAGCTTCCGTGGGGTCGTTTGGTTTGGTTCTTCCCAAATCCAGATTGAAGCCATCCTGTGAAATGGTATTGGCTTCCTGAAGACCTACTCTCAAGGCCTCTGAGCTTGGTTTCTTATGGATAATTAAAGGTATTATAATCACCTGGAGAGCTAACCCTACTGTGCTCCTTGGAAGTCTCTTCTCCGAGTCAGTTGTCTTCCTGTTTGGGTTGTTGACTGTCAAACCATGTTGAGGTCATCATAGTGTTCTCATGAATATGGCTCAATACCTGGTAGCTCAGTGACAGTGACTTTTTTTAAACTTTCCTTTGTTCTTCAGGTGTCTCCGTATTCTTGATGCACAAATTGAGGCAGGATCGTTGCTCAGTAGCTGCATGTGCAAATTCAAGCCAATCCAAGGAAAATGAAAGTAGCTCTTTGGTTTTAGTTTGGGTCTTGGAGTTTGCTGGGCACTTTTATTAATAATGCATAAAACAGAACAAGAGTTCTACCCAGGGTCTGTCCACAAAAATGGGGTCCATAAAGAGATGGCTACACGGAAGTGACTCCACTGAATAGCAAGAGCAAAGGCAGGAAGGGAGTTTTTAGCGATTTTGCCTATTTGTGAAGATGTCTACAGTCGGAGGAAGCAATTTCTTCTATTTTCCTTATGTGAAATTGTGTTTAGTAAGTATTCAGTTAGTTAATATGCAGCAGTTCTTCACTTTAACCTTTTTGATTCTTTTTTCCGTAAAACAGTTCTTATGGTAATTCATATACAGGGACCAGATAATTCATTCCATAAGCTGAAATGAATAAGGACTTATAAATTGTATCAACAGTGGAATGCTGCTTTGTCTCCTACCATCAACCAGCTTTTTGTTTTTTTAAATTTTTTTATTTTTGGCTGCTTTGGGTCTTCATTGCTGCGCACAGGCTTTCTCTAGTTGCGGTGAGTGGGGGCTACTCTTCGTTGTGGTGCGCGGGCTTCTCATTGCGGTGGCTTCTCTTGTTGTGGAGCACGGGCTCTAGGCACGCGGGCTTCAGTAGTTGCAGCACGCAGGCTCAGTAGTTGTGGCACACGGGCTTAGTTGCTCTGTGGCATGTGAGATCTTCCTAGACCAGGGATCGAACCCGTGTCCCCTGTATTGGCAGGTGGATTCTTAACCACTGAGCCACCATGGAAGTCCCCATCAACCAGCTTTTAAACTTACAATGCTGCATACAATCCGGAGACTGAAGTGAGAATGTCTCTGGAATCAGAAAACCACACAGGCTTGTCGTAGGCTGCGAACAGGCCTGTGCATAATAACAAAATTGAGATAATAAGAGGAAAGCTTTATCTTCAGTCTGTAAATGGCTTTATGGTTCCTATTCTTTGCCATGGCCTTGGGGGTTTTGCTGAGCATCTGGTTTTAAGGTGTTTACCTTATTCCCCCTCTGAATGTTATCGATCTTCCTTCCTTGTGTGTCCCATTAATATGGTATCTAGGAGGTGCACTTGCATCTGGATGTCAGAACCTTACACTTCCGGCTAAAGTCAGGACCTTACTTGCTCTCCCTGACTTTAGTCTTTCTGCAACAGGGGCCTGGTGAGAGGCCTGGCCCCACGGGTGCAGGCACAGTTATTCCCGAGCAGGGGAAGTAAGGGTGGATGAGCTAGATGGGAACTGAATGTGATGGGCCGAGGGGAAAGCGGGGCTTGATACCTTCCAGAATAAGAAGCTGCTGTCACTGTAGGCTTTCAAGCGTGGGAAGGACTCATGGAAAGCCATTTTCACAGAGGTGAGTCCCACTGCTATGTAGAGTTTAGGAGGAGGCAGAGAAGTTGTGATGTCAGGGAGATCCAGGAAAGGCTGGAGATAACTTTAGTCCAAGTGCAAGGTTGTGAAGTCTGGATGCAAGCACTCCTAACGAGACTAGGACAAGAGAAATCTGAGGACATTCTGCAACGGGAAATAGCAGCACGTTGCCTTCTCCCTATACAGTACCATGTGCTATGAGATGATAATTAATATTCATAATAACTCCAAGGCACTTTAAGACCATGAAGCCTTTCTGAATTATAAAATAAAGCTTAAATGATACTTACCATATGGTATGTAAAATGTATTTTATACTGTTTGAATTCTTTGAAAATTTGATTATCTAGACTGTACAGCTAAAATAAAACCCTGCACTTAGCTGATTCTGCAGGTTAGGGTCCACTGTACCCTTGTGTTCGACTCCTAATTTAGACTTTTTAATGGAAGATTTCCAGGGAGGATGGCAGAGTAATAGTCCGGCATTACTCCCAGTCTGACAATGCCCAAATCAATTTAGACATGGCAAAAACCAACTACAACAGTAAATTAGGGGGCTTCCCTGGTGGCGCAGTGGTTAAGAATCTGCCTGCCAATGCAGGGGACACGGGTTCAAGCCCTGGTCCAGGAAGATCCCACATGCCGCAGAGCAACTAAGCCCGTGCGCCACAACTACTGAGCCTGTGCTCTAGAGCCCATGCGCCACAACTACTGAGCCTGCCCTCTAGAGCCTGTGAGCCACAACTACTGAAGCCCGTGCACCTAGAGCCCGTGCTCTGCAACAAGAGAAGCCACCGCAATGAGAAGCACGCGCACCTCAATGAAGAGTAGCCCCCACTCGCTGCAACTAGAGAAAGCCCACACGCAGCAATGGAGACCCAACACAGCCATAAGTACATACATACATACATACATACATAAGTCTATTAAAAAACCAGTAATTAGGAAAGCAGCCTGCAAGCTGAACCTTAAAATTCATCAATAAAATGAAGGAAACCCAGAATCAAAACTATTATCCTAAAATCAACAGGAACTGGGAAAAAACATTTGGGAGCAAATGAATGGAAAATGTTAGCAAAACACAGTATAATATGTGATTTGTGTCTCAAAAATACTGGGAGACAATACAGAAAACGATAATGAAAGCCTGTAGGAAACTGTTAAATGTGGCTAAGAAACTGTTTTTGCTGCCTTCATTGGGTGACTCATGCAGAGGGAAAGCAGCATGAGAAATCCCCATTACTGTGGTTCACAGGCACACACGTTTCATGTAAGTCTCCTCTTAGCAGGGGTGGCTCGGTGTTCATTGTTGTTGTTTTCCCAAGATTCCTAGTGCCGTGTTTTGCTGGTGGTGATCACCCAGTCTGAGCCGGCTGGTAGTTGTTCTCAGTCCTACAGGCCTGATTTAGGCATTTCTCATGAGCGTTTGACTATTTTGGACACAGATCACAGCAACATTAAACTACCTTTTTCCTTGTTCCTTCCTCCCTTTCCAGTACTGCTTTGTGCTTTAGGTCCAGATGGGGCAACTCAGAAAACCTAATGCATCAGGAGGGTGGGAGCGGAAGTGAGGGAGAGTTTCCAGAAGACCACTTTGGGCTGTCATCCCTTTAAATTCCAGGCTCTAAGGAAGTGTTGGTGGTATGAATGCCCTGTTAACAATTATCATTTGCCTTTGCTGCCAGCAACCTGGCAATCTAAAGAAAATAACCATTGAAATTCCCTGACTGTCCAGTGGTTGGGACTCCACGCTTTCACTGTTGTGGGCCCGGGTTTGATCCCTGCGGGGAACTAGGATCCTGCAGGCCAAAAATGAAAGAAAATAAACCGCATAAAATAAAAGCAAGAACAGAAATTCGGTCCTTTCAAACAAATAGGCCATCCCTTGCACACTGCTCCCTCCCTGGGCTCTGGTGGGAGTGGAGAGGAGAGCTGTGTCTGCGGGTGTCCTCCAAGTGCCCCTTCTGGGGCCTGGATTCTCTGGTCTGCTTCTGAAGCCAACAGGCTTGATTAAGGAGGGTCTGGCTCTACAGAAAGCTCTTTGTCAGTGTAGCTCAAAACAGATGATTTTTTAAAAACCCTGCATCAGTATTTACTTTGTCTTACAGTGGTTTGAGTCCAGCCAATGACACTGGAGCCAAAAAGAAGAAAAAGAAACAAAAAAAGAAGAAAGAGAAAGGCAGTGAGACAGATTCAGCCCAGGATCAGCCTGTGAAGGTAACAAGGAGGCTCTGTTTTCTGGTGACAGAGTCGCTTTTTCAGATGAGAGGGTGTTGGGGTAAATGTATAGGAACAGTGTGGATTGACAGTCTCCACTGGTATTACTTCGAGAGGGAGGAGTTGGATCCCTCTGCTGCCCTAGACCTAGGTGTTGAAACTGCTATCCTACCTTAAAAGGCACAGCACGCTAGACATTGACTCCCAAGCCTGGTGCCCCCTCAGAATTTATAGGTGCATACCTGCATGGGGTGTTGTGCTATGTGCCACAGAGCGATTCCCTTGTGACCGCCCCTGTGGCCTAGAGCAGTGGTTCTCGGCCTTTTCTGTCTTCAGTCCCCACCACTATGAGAATGAAAGGCCTGTTCCTATTAAGGCAGACCTTTATATATTGCAAGCATTCTGTTGATGCTATAGTTATTGTAATGAGAACTGAGACTCCCACAGAGCCCATTTCTGAGTTCCATAGTTGAGAACCACTGGCCTAGAGCTTACCTCTGAGACTGACGCACCGACACAAAACCCAGAAGTATGGGTAAGGATTGTTTTGTTTCTTAAATAAAGCCACATTAAAAAAAGAAAACCTTTTATTTCAGGTAAGTGCTGTCCTCTTCAAAGTAGGCCCTGGAGGAAGCTCGAAACATATCCATAATTCTTTTAGAATTGCCTCAGTTTACAAGCCTCACAAGAAATCCAGTCTCATTATTCCAGTATACCCACCCCTTGCTTTTTGCCTCGAAAGTCATACTCCAACTTGAATCTCCTACCTTATTGAGATATGGCTTCAAGTAATTTTTTTGATATTTTCAATACCAAACCCACTGTGAAAAAAAAAATACTACCGTTATTGACCACCATGCTGGCCAGCTAGGTTCTTGCCAGGCACATGGTTTAAATTAACCCCAACCTTCAATTTCTCTACAGGGTAGGTGGGGGTCTTCCCATTTTAAAGACGAGAGGAGGTGGTTTACCCAGGTCTTTCAGTCAGGAATCCTAGCCCAAGCCCATGCTTTGGCTTTAGGGATTCTTGTTTGTTTCTTTGTTTGTCTGGGGGTGGGTGTTTGGATGACTCCAGGGGGGTTTGAACTGAAACCTTTATCAAAATGGTTCACTTTGAGATTAGAAAATCTCAACAAAACACCATTTATGTAGCCGTTCTGTTTTTCTCTTTATGAGAGTGTTGGAATACATAGTAAAGAATTTAGAAAAAAACATAGCCAGAGGAAGAAAATGAAAATCATTTCCAGTTCTACCTCCCAGGAATAAGCAATGTAAATATATTGGTTTATATTCTCTCTTTCCTTCACAATTTAAATGAAAAAAAGATGTAGGAAAGTAGAAGTATTAGAAGTTATGGGTATTTGTATAATCTTAAGCTGGACATAAGATCCAGAAGCCATAAAAGAAAAAGTGACAAATTTCAAACTTCTCTGTAAAAGTCAAGAGGTAAACAACAAACTGGGCAAATACTTGCAATACATGAATCAGTAAATTTAAGATAATGAAATGAGTAGGCCATTCACAAAGAAAAAAATAAAGGTTTTTATATGAAAAGATGGTTAAATTTGAAATGAAAATTAAAGCAACATTTTTTTTTCCTAGATTGGCAGAGATTAAGATTTGGTAAATTGATGATGAGGGTCTTGAGAAACACACTCTCATACACTGTTCACTGGGTTAATTGATATTTTCTTTTTAGAGAGTAAGTTGACAATATATATAATCTCAAACGTGCATCTCCTCTTACCCAGCAAGCCTCCTTTCTTAAACTTTATCCTGTAGAAATACGTATTCAGTGAGCAAAAACAGATGTAGAAGAAAGTTCATTGCAGCATTGTCTGTAAAACTGAAGACCAGAATCACCAAAATGCCGTTGGTAGGGGGTTGGCCAGATATATTGTAGTCTGTGCACGCAGGGGACTCAGTTGTTGGAATGGGCAGGTCCATGTGACTGTGTGGAACGGTCTCTAAGACATAGTGTTTAAAGAAGAACAGTCAGTAAAATAATACTGTACGATCCAATTTGAGTTTTTGAAAATTGTGTGTGTGTTTGGAACTTGCATGAAAAAAGTCTGAAATTATATTTGCCTCTTCTCACCCTACCTCCCAAATTTAAGACTGTTCATGACAAGGATTATATTTGAGGGATGGGACTGTTGGGTTTTTTATCTTCTGTGTGTTTTGACATTTCTGCATCGTTTGAAATTTTACACTAAGCCACGTTTTGCCGTCAACCATCGTAAGACTAAGAAGAGGAGAAACCCTGTAGGAAGCACCTCCCTATCATACTGCTCGTCGTCAACCACTCCTTCTCCACTTGTACTTCAACAGCTGACCTCTCAGGAACCACACCGCTTCTTTGAGTTGTACCCCCTTAACTCTTGGACTTGAATGAATCAAAAGTGTTTATTAATATAATGGGCCTTTTCTCTCCCCAACTTTGTCTTGTTCAGATGAACTCTTTGCCAGCAGAGAGGATCCAGGAAATACAGAAGGCCATTGAACTTTTTTCAGTAGGTCAGGGACCTGCGAAAACCATGGAGGAGGCTAGCAAACGAAGCTACCAGTTCTGGGACACGCAGCCCGTCCCCAAACTGGGTATGTATTTGCTTTCTTCCCCAGGCGAAGGCAAAGGCAAAGGCAAGGGCGAGGGCGAGGGATGTGCCTCAGCCATGCTGAGGGTTCTACGCTGGATTTGTGAGGGAGGACGAGAGAGTTCTGTTGTTCCTTGGTGGCTGTTTTTAGAGGATAGTCTTTACAGTGCAGTTCAGAAAAGACTGTTGTTCAGGGACCTTATCATTTCACAGTAACACATACTGAGAACAAATAATGGTCCTTTTAGTCCGTCATCATCCAGTCTAAATCTACAAAGAAAACCAGGGCATTGGCACATGGTGAGTGGGGATGTGTGCTCATGGACCTGTCTTCCCACATAGATTTTATGGAGAGACTTGTTTATCTGGGCAAGTGTTTAATCTGGAGTGGGCCAGTCCCCAGCCTCTTCCCCTTGTCTCTCAGACAGTGCGTGCTTAATAGATGCAAAATAATTTGACATTCTGCTTAACAGTGATAGTTTAATTCCACCTGGAATACCATATGCAGGTTTGGTCGGCACCTCTTTAAAAAGCTATGATGAACTCTCAAAGGAGTGGGGCAAGCAGAAAATAAAAGGATTCTGGAAGAGACTGGTCGTAGCAGAGTTAGAGATGCCTGCTGAGACTGAGCCACAGCTCACCTTGACGGCTGACTTCAGAGGGTGTTACTGACAGAACGTTTTTGCAGTGGGTTGCATCATGCCCCTAGACCCATTGATAGCCCAGTTCCTATTTTCTATGTGACTGGGAAAGTAGGTATGTTGAAAAAAACGTGTGTTACCAACAAACATGAGTGACCTTCAGGCTGCCCATGTTACTGCTCCCCTCCAGTGACACAGTGAGATTTGACAGTGTGTTTGGTGGGGAAGAGCGGGGTGAGGGCAGAATGAAAGCCTGGTGAGGGGAGAGGGGCAGCTGTGCCCAAGGAGAGTCGTCTACTCCAGAATGTGCCCCTCTGGCCAGCAGGATGGACATTGCTTAAGAGCTTGTAGAAATGCAGAATCTCAAGCCCCAGACCTGCAGAATCAGAACGTGCAGGGGATTTGTGTCCACTCTGAAAGTTTGAGAAGCTCTGCTCTGGAGCAGATGCAGTTTGTAGACAGCTTAGTCCCAATCCAGAAGCAAGCTGAGACGTGCCCCCCAGAGGGTGCAAAGCAAGGCAGTGCCTGGGTGGTTGTGAGTCGTGAATCAGCAGCAGGCACCGTTCTAGAACCCTGCCCTCACCCATCCACCAGGTCTGTTGAGCTGTCCCGGTCAGCCAGGTCCCAGGCCACTGGCTAAGCCCTCCAGCAAGGCTTTGGGTCACAGCAATACTATTCTTAGGGTATTACAGGTAACGGGCCCCGGTGACCACTCCCCCACGAAGCAGCGGGAAGAATCGAGAGCCACACGCTCCACCTCTGAGTGAATTGCACGAAGAGGCATCCGGGGTGGGGGGCTGCTGTGCACCTTGGCTGTTTTCAGATGGGGTCTTAGTTTGATTTTATTTTTCGTTAAGAATTTGCAAATGGGTGACTTTGCTCCATTCTTCATAGACATGGAACCTGGTGAAGAGGCCAGTTGGGATTAATGGGCTTCTCTTCTGCTTTAGCTCATTTACTCTTTGATGTTTGCCTCAGTTTCTCCACCTGTATGTAGACAGTACTCCCGTTTTGTTCTCAGAAAGCTCGTGACAAAGCCACACTATTGCTCACAGGGACCTAGATGGCCTCGGGAAGGTGGAATGAGGCTGTTCTGTTTCTTCTCGATGTGCCTTCTGGGCAGTGTGTGGTGTGGGGCTCGGTGGAAGAGTGATCACTCCAAGCTTCTGGCCAGTCTGCCTTTCAGGTCCGCGGTCAGTCAGGTCCAAATAAAGGATTCCTTTGTGTCTGTGAGTCAGCCCATAGAAAGTACCACATTATAGGCATCAATTGGTCCACGTGGCTGAGGTGTCACCCCAGTTCTGCTTCTGACTGTCCTTAGGGTAGAGTGATTTATAGCTTCTTGCTTTAATTTTTTCCACTTAACTGGGGGCTAATAATTGTGAGACTCAAGCATATCAAGTGTACTGTGTTTGCAGCACTCCCCAACTTGTGGCGAGAGTTAGATTGTATTTCACTCAAAAGACTTAGAATTCTTTAGGAGTTTAAAATCATCTGGGACTTCCCTGGTGGCGCAGTGGTTAAGAATCCTCCTGCCAATGCAGGGAACACGGGTTCAAGCCCTGGTCTGGGAAGACCCCACATGCCGCGGAGCAGCTAAGCCCGTGCGCCACAGCTACTGAGCCTGTGCTCCAGAGCTCATGAGCCACAACTACTGAGCCCGCGTGCCACAGCTACTGAAGCCTGCATGCCTAGAGCCCATGCTCCGCAGCAAGAGAAGCCACCGCAATGAGAAGCCTGCGCACCGCAACGAAGAGTAGCCCCTGCTCTCTGCAACTGGAGAATGCCTGCACGTAGCAACGAAGACCCAACGCAGCCACAAATAAATAAATAAGTGTATTTTTTAAAAAAAATCATCCTAAGCTCACCATTGCAAGGCCTGTAAACAGCCAGTGTCTTCAGCTGTATAACAGTTCTTTGTGCTCCCAGATCAACTTTTGATCTCCCTTTTCAGGCCATGTCCTTCTCCTTTTTCAGTCACCCCTTTTCCTGCGCTAGTGGGGGGATGAGGAATCCTTTTGCTTTGCCTGACCTTAGTGGGGTGGAATCTGGCCACTGTTAGATTAGTTTAAAAAGTAACTCTCCCGAAGAAAGGGAGAACCTTTCTAACCAACTCGTACTTGGTTGCCCTGGGCCCTGAGAGAGAAGCTTCCCCACTTTGTCCCTTGTCCTGCTCGTTTGGCTTAAGGTCTCCCAGATCTCACATTCTTTTCTCCCAAGTCCTTCACAGATGCACTGTGGCGCTTAGTTTTGGATCTCGGTGTCGGAAGGCAGAGAGAGCATTTGGGGGTAGAGTGTACAGAAAGAAACCCGTTGAAAGTCCAGGGTTTTCTTTCCGAGTTCCCAGCGTCCTCCTCAGCTGCTCGCTGGCTCATGGTGGCCTAGAGACAGTTGGCTGCATTCCTGCCATGCTCTGCGGAGCAGCCCGCGCCAACTCAGCCAGAGGCGCTCAGGAGCCATTGGAAGGTGGCAGGCAGGCCAGTCTCCACCGAGCAGCGCAGGCAGGAGCCCTGCGCCGCTCTCAGCTTTGCTGGCACCCCGGACCGCGAGTCTGTTCAAAGTGCTTCTGCTTTCTCAGTGTTTGCTCTAACTCTGCTTTGTCAGCTGTGTCTTGCAGATGGCACACAGCCTTGAGATAACCTGTGAGAGCTGGTTTGTCAACACGTAGATTAAGACTTACCAATTGAATATTGTATAAAAGTTCACTCAGTAATGTCACTTGACAAGCACTTATTGAGTACTCTTTGTAAAATTCAAATCTCAGGATGTCACTCCTCCCTCCCCTCCCCCTTAAAGACCCGTTCAGGATGTCCCACAGCCTTGAGGATGAAGTCCAGCCTCGGTAGTAGCTCGCAGGGTCCTCCACGATTGGTCCCCGCTCTCCTCTTCAGCCTCCTCTCCTAGTTTCCTTCCTTCCCCCCACTTCATCTCCAGGCCTTGACTGTGCTGTTCCCTCAGTGTACCCACCCTCCCTGCCCCACCCAGTCCACTCCTGCCTAATTCCTAATTATCCTTGAGATCACATCTTTAGATATTTCTTCTGAGAGGTCTTTCCTGACCCCTCCCCCTCCTACCATACTTCATTGTCGTGGACTCTCATTATACTGAGTGACAGGTGCCTGCTTGCTTGTCTCTTTGGTACCCATGATGATGAGGACCTACGTCCATTTCATTCGCCAGCTCCTGCCCCAGAGCTGGAGCATTCTAGGATTCTGTGAACACATGGTGAAGGCGCAAATGGAAATGCTTGGTGCATGCAGGACCTAGTAACCAGCCTAAATGAAATGATTTGGCCTTGAGACTATTGTCATGTAGTGGCAAAGACCACCAGTGTCTTGTCCATGAAATCATTTAGGGGAAAAAAATTGATAAAAAAGTTCTGAAGTTTAAAAATGTCTTTTGGAGGGCTTCCCTGGTGGCGCAGTGGTTAAGAATCCGCCTGCCCATGCAGGGGACATGGGTTCGAACCCTGGTCCGGGGAGATCCCACATGCCGCGAAGCAACCTAAGCCTGTGCACCACAGCTGCTGAGCTTGTGCTCTAGATCCCACGAGCCACAACTGCTGAGCCCGCGTGCCACAACTACTGAAGCCCGCGCACCTAGAGCCTGTGCTCTGCAACAAGAGAAGCCACTGCAACGAGAAGCCCGCACACCGCAACGAAGAGTAGCCCCTGCTCGCCGCAACTAGAGAAAGCTCGTGTGCAGCAATGAAGACCCAACACTACCATAGATAGATAAGTGAAAACGTCTTTTGCAAAGGGTATAAGTTCAAAACAAGATAGGGAAAATTGATTAGCACCTAGACTAGAGTAGAAATCCTTGGTACTTTCCAAGGGTCCAGCCCTTGGCTTGGTAGGCTCAAAAAGTTATACGTGGCAGGGAATTGAAAGTGGATTGACTTATATTAAACCAATTCACAAGGGCGGCTTTATGAATTAATCAAAAGGCCAATTTCTAAACCAGGGAAAAAAAATATATAACCGCTCTCCCAAGGAAACCTATTTGGGAGCAGCTTATAAATAAGAATTAGCTGGATTCTTCCCTGCTGTGTCCCCATTGTTGCCTGTACTTTGCAATTTGTGACCCTTAGCACGTTGGTAATGACTCATTTCTTGAATATTTCCCCAGAAGATGGTGCATCTTGTGAGGCCAGGGACCTTGTCTTTTCCCAGCTCTGTCCTGGTACGCCATGTCTGACTGGTGTTCAGTAAATGTGCCGGGCGAGAGTTAGATGGTCAGTCCTGATGGTGTCGTGCTCAGCTCATGGCTGGATGCAGCCGTTGCAGCTACACCTGCCCCACAGATCCGTCACTGGGAGGGTCCACAGCTTCCTGTTACACGTTAGAATGGTGTGTTTGGGCCAGGAGTCCGAATGTCAGTAAAAGCATGAACTGAGTGCCTAGAATGTACAGAGCCTTGTGCTGGGAGCCGTGTACTGAGTGGTCCCCTGAAAAGACTGTTTTCAAAATGTACTAAACATTTCATTCTTCTAAGTTGTGAACATGAATGAGCTCTGAATTGTAGACTCTGCCAGGGCCAAATAATTCCAGGGGCCAAAGTTAAGTGGCTGATTTGTCTGAGTTTATCAGATAGGTCTGATTTGGCTGGGGTTGGGAATCAGGGCTGTGTCTTCTCAGCACCCCCCTCACTTCCTATGTACGCCACAGGGGAAGGGTGTCTGTCCCGGGTGGAGATGTCCCGTCAGAGGGTAACTTCCCAGCAGCGTGGTGTAGACTCAGTGATTCAGCCTGAAGGCGCTCACAGGGCTCTGTAAACACCGAGGGCCTGAGCTGGCAGCGGCAGTTAACTGGCCAACGTTGTTCAAAGCCAAGGCTGGCGGGGCCCAGAGTGAGCCTGGCGCCTGGACGCCATTGTCTAGCTCAGGAATAGGCCCAGTACGTTGTTGTTGCTGTTGACACAAAAGCGGCCTTGTTGCGGCTCCTTACAAATCCATCCAGGTCGATGGGCCTGGGCCAGGGCCATGACAGCACTCTACACCAACCAGGAGGCAGGGAGCCAAACTAGTCAAGATAAATGTTTGTCATTCAGGAACCAAAGGGAGATTTAAAAGAATGTCCAAGAAACCAACCACCTTGGATCCCACTGATTGTTCTTAAGTTTGGCCATGAATTGGCCCTCAGCTAGGGGCCAAGGGTAGCTGGAGAGATGGTCTGCAGTTGCCAAGAACAGAGTGTTCTTGAGATGGAGGGCTCCTAGGGATAGGAGGAATTTGCTGAGGTCAGTCTTTGAGCTGAGCCCCTTGCTTCCCTAGGAGGCCGAGGGTGAGGCTTATGGCTATGCTCTTCTTCCAGGGGAAGTCGTGAACACACATGGTCCCGTGGAACCTGACAAAGACAGCATCCGCCAGGAGCCCTACACGCTGCCCCAGGACTTCGCCTGGGATGCCTTGGACCTGGGGGACCGTGGTGTGGTGAGTAGGCCTGGGTGGGCCAGGAGTGTGGACCGGCTGCCACTTTCACGAACAGGCCTGCAGTCACATCGACATGGCTTCTACTCAGGCCTTCCTCAAGGGCTGTCTTAAGAGCTGAGCCAAGCAGGTCTGAGCAGAGCCCCCATCCGTTGCCCCTGGGGTCTGCCCACGACTCCACATAAATAGCTCTTGGCTTCTCTGGCAGGTTGAGAGTTAACCCCTGCCACTCCCCAAGGCAGATACCTTTTCTTCATGCTTTCATTTTTCTTGTTCATGCATTTATTCAGTCCCTTGTCTTAACAATGGAGTGGTTGGTTAGTTGGATGACATTCTTGGTCTGCCCCTTCATGTACTTAAGTCTGCCACTCTACCCTTGGTGGCTCAGTTTCCTATTAAGCACTAGGGTGCTTGTTCCAGGAGTCCCTGCCATGAAAAGGATGTGTGAGATTAAACATAATTTTTGGTAGTTTGCCTTGTCCTGAAAGGCTTGGAGCCCCAGGGTACTGGAGTTCGTCCCCGCGCCTGGCAGGATACCCCTAAGGCAGCTCCTCCTCTCCGCAGCTGAAAGAGCTCTACACCCTCCTGAATGAGAATTATGTGGAAGATGATGACAACATGTTCCGATTTGATTATTCTCCCGAATTTCTTTTGTGGTGAGTTGTAAGGGCTTTCTTGTTTAAGGTTCCAGAGCCAGGCATAGAGCAGAACAACGACAGGGCAGCAGATTTTTCATCCCTGCTAAGAGCCATCCTTTTAATGACAAATTAGTATGCGATTTTTGAGTTTCTGCATCTGAAGGAGACTTGCTTCTCGTGGAGCTTAGAATCGAAACCTTATTTAAGACAGAATGACTGGGCGAGGGATTCCTTTATGGAATTGGCACCCAGAAGAAAAGATCGTCTATTGTGTAGTGACTTTACGTAAGAAGGGAGGGAGGGATGAGACCTGCTAAGATTTAAAAGAAAAGAGGTCGTTTTCTATCCATTTCCTGAGCATGCTCAGTTGTATGAAAATGACCTCGCCTGGCTGGGCCACCCACCCTCCCGGGCCTCGTTTAATATCCGGGAAGGTAGAGAGGCATGAGGCCAGCACGGTGGGGGCCTGCCTGAAAGGGGAGGGAAAGGAAGACTGGCCAAGCGGAAAGAGAGGAGGTGATGGTGCTTTGGGGAGGTGGAGCCCAGAGCTCCAGAGGCTCCACAGTCAGCTCCCGACCATGGGACCCACTGGACTCGAAGCCAGGGAGGCCGGTGCTCCGGCTCAGGCTGTCAGAGTAAGTGAGCACAAAGAAACCGGATCAGTATGAAATCTTCACTGTGACAGCCCTGGGTTGGATGAGCAAGTAGGCCAAGTGGGCTGAGCAGAAAGAAAGAGCTGTGGCTCGATCCCATTGGTGTCCAGGAGGGTTTGGCCCTAAAGAGAATTAGGAGAATTGAGCTGTTCACCCCTACTCAGGGAGGTGGTAGCACGAGCTTAGAACCAGACTCGGCGGTGGAGCCCAGACAGTCCCCCAAGGCCGCTGGCGAGCAGCACCACGGCTACAGCCCCCGTCTCTCCTCTAGGGCTCTCCGGCCGCCTGGCTGGCTCCCCCAGTGGCACTGTGGGGTTCGAGTGGTCTCGAGTCGGAAACTGGTTGGGTTCATCAGCGCCATCCCGGCAAACATCCATATCTATGACACGTAAGCGCCAGCGCCACCCCACCCCCCCGCATCCTCACCATCCTGCTTGGTCTGGGAAGGTGGGGGGGAAACACGCACATACTTTCCGTAGAAGAAAGAGGGAAGTTCCCACGAAGGGAGGGAACTTGGGTCATGGGAATAGAAATTCATCATAGGAACCACCTGTCTGGCTCTGAATTGTTGCTGGTGCTCTTGTCTGTGACCTGGGCTGGAAGGAGTCCACCCTGAGGGCCGGTGCACTCCTTGACCAGCAGTTCAGCATTTGCATTTGTGCCACTCACGGATTGACACACTCAAGCCGCCGCTTCAGAAGTGGCGGGTGTGACTCACCACCACACTGTCACGGGGCCTTCAAGCTCTGCTCTTCATTTTCCCTGGAAATGTCAGAACCATCTACCACAGCCTTCTGGGCTTAGAGGCTGTGGATTCTTGGGGGAGTCAGAACCCCTGAAATCGTAGAATAACCCTTGACTTACTCTGTGGGGTTCCTGACGGCTAAAGGTGGGACGCCGCCAGCCTACTATTGGGGCTTCACCAGGGAGATGCCGTGGTGCCTTAAATAAAGGAGTTTGCTTGAGTCCCACTTACCTTTGGAGGTAGAGTCCTTAGAGAGTGGGCCCCTTGCCTGGTGCAGCGGAGCAGGGCAGTGGGAGGGCGTCCGAGCCCCGACTGCTGAGTGCAGGCAGAGGCAGAACACAAGCCTGTGCTGAGGGCCCCGGTCTCTGCAGGGCGCTCCATGTGCTGGACAGGATTGCCTTGCCTGTTAAAAGCCCTGTCCCTGGGTTTTTTCCTTCCTCTTCAGAGAGAAGAAGATGGTAGAGATCAACTTCTTGTGTGTCCACAAGAAGCTGCGTTCCAAGAGGGTGGCTCCAGTCCTGATCCGTGAGATAACCCGGCGGGTGCACCTGGAGGGCATCTTCCAAGCTGTTTACACTGCCGGGGTCGTATTACCAAAGCCTGTTGGCACTTGCAGGTAAAAAAATCTCTTCTTTGCAAGGTCCTAGAAACGGCGACATGCCCGCTCTAGTTTGAGGAGCTTGTGTCACTGTGAGTCACAGTTCTGCCCCTCAGCGTGTGCCCTAGAGCATCTCGCTGCTCTGGTGTCTGATAAGGTGGGTGGTGGTCCCCACAGGAGCCGGGTGGGGCACACAGGGGAGTGACTGGGAGGCTGTAGGAACAGCAGCCTGCACAGTGCGTGCCCTGCCCAAAGGGGTTAGGCTTTCTTAGGTCCCCCTAATTCCTTCCATTTGGAAATGGTGGGGGGCAGTCTGCTGGGGTTTTGTTCTCGTTTTTAAGGATGAGGCCAAATCTGGATTTTTATGGTAAATGTCCTAAAGTTTTAAATGGTTGGCTCAATTTTGTTTTGAATATTATGTGGGCCGAAGAGAGCATGTCTGATCCCTGTGTGCACCAAGCACAACCTCTGCCTTCGAAAGTTCTTTGAAACAATTGAATACTCTGCCTTAAGAACTTCAAAAGTGAAAACACCAGACAAATGCTGGAAAGGAAGAGGCAGAGGCTAAACATTCAGAGAACTAGAAGTCTTTTCCATTGACTTGATTCCAGGAGTGGTGATCGCTGTTCCCAGACAAATACTGTTACAGAGGAGTGGCTTGTGAACTTGACAAAGAAAATATAGGAAGCGCTGTGGCCACTCTGCACTCACTGTGGGGAGGTTGGAGATCTGGGGCGACGCCACTGGCTCAAGTGGGGCCCGACGGCTCTCTTACGCCACCTGCCGGCCATCTTGAGATCCCCGTGCAATTGTCCTTTTTTTTTTTTTTTAATATTTATTTATTTGGTTGTGCTGGTTCTTAGTTGCGGCACGTGCGCTCCTTAGTTGCGGCATGCGAACTGTTAGTTGCAGCGTGCATGTGGGATCTAGTTCCCTGACCAGGGATCAAACGCAGGCCCCCTGCATCGGGAGCGCGGAGTCTTAACCACTGTGCCGCCAGGGAAGTCCCGCCGTTGTCCTTTTAATGAGACTTGCCATAGTCCTCTGAGGACAGGACATTGTGTCCCCACAGGTACTGGCATCGGTCCCTAAACCCACGGAAGCTGATTGAAGTGAAGTTCTCCCACTTGAGCAGAAATATGACCATGCAACGCACCATGAAGCTCTACCGACTTCCAGAGGCCAGTGGTGCTTCGGGGCCCTGGGCGGGGGCAGGAGGGAGGCCAAGGAGAGCCTCGCCCTCAGCAGGAAAGGAGTGGGGCCTGGGGGGGGTGGAGGGGGCTCTTACCAGAAAAGCAACTCAACCCGTAGTTTCCGGGTTCCTAGCCTTTCCATCCTGTCGTTCTGTTATCTGTAGCAAGGTTTTTATTTTAGTTGGGCTTCCTCTGTTCTCCTGAGCCTACACCTGGGCTAGCTTCTCTGCCATCTGTTGGCAGACTCAGAGAGCACCTATTCCGTGGAATTTTAGCCTAAGTGAAGCATAATGGAGAGAGGAATCCACTCACTGGTATGCAGCACATCCCAGGACCCAGCGGAAATGAGCCACAGAGCATCTGCTGCTCCCTCTGCCGAGTCAGGTGGAGGAGAGGTGGCTTGAGTTTGTGAGGGGAGCCCAGATTTCCAGCCCCAATCCTCCCGCCCAGATTTTGCCGCCAAAGGACTAGGCAGCCTGCAGTGAGCTGGTTTTCTCCTCTGGGCCTCGGTTTGCCTAGTTGGCCAGTGAGACAGACGCTCCTTGTTCTCCTGTTGTGCCTGTCTTCAGGAGCCTAATGGATCTTAAAATCCCTTCTCTTCCCTCAGAGCCCTTCCGGGCGGTGTCAGCACAGTTATTGGATGCCTGCTGATCAGAGGGCTGCCCGCCTGGGCTCATCAGCCACCAAACTGGATTAGTCGCCCTGGGGTTGGGCTGATCCACCCCTGGATTGGGGTCATTAGTGCCCTGCTTTGAGAGCCCGCTGCAGCATAGTTAGGCACTGCCCAGGAAGCCAGATTAGGGAGCCATGACGAGTGTCCCCTTGGGCCACTGGAGAGCGTTCTTAAAGTGTAGCAGCTGGAAGAATGTCTTTGGATCTCCCCACCTGTGGGTGAGAACCCCAGCATGGCTGCTTTTTCAGTCCAGGATTTGAGGTGTCATTTTGGGAGCTACCATGTAGAAACAAGGTCACTAAGTGTTCCCTAGAGACATCAGGATTAGCAAGGAATTATGGCAGCTAGAGGTCCTGGAACTGCAGTTTTAAATTTATTTATTTACTTATTTTTGGCTGCTTTGGGTCTTCGTTGCTGTGCTCAGGCTTTCTTTAGTTGTGGCTAGCTGGGGCTACTGTTCGTTGCAGTGCGCAGGCTTCTCATTGCAGTGGCTTCTCCTGTTGCAGAGCACGGGCTCTAGGTGCACGGGCTTCAGTAGTTGTGGTGCCAGGGCTCAGTAGTTGTGGCACACGGGCTTAGTTGCTCCGTGGCATGTGGGATCTTTCCAGACCAGGGCTCGAACCCATGTCCCCTGCATTGGCAGGCGGATGCTTAACCACTGTGCCACCAGGGAAGTCCCCTGGAACTGCAGGGTTTGTTTTGTTTTTTTGCGGTATGCGGGCCTCTCACTGTTGTGGCCTCTCCCGTTGTGGAGCACAGGCTCCGGACGCGCAGGCTCAGCGGCCATGGCTCACGTGCCTAGCCGCTCCGCCGCGTGTGGGATCTTCCCGGACCGGGGCACGAACCCATGTCCCCTGCATTGGCAGGCGGACTCTCAACCACTGCGCCACCAGGGAAGCCCGGAACTGCAGTTTAAAAGCAAT